CATCCCAGTTAATTGGCCTAATAACGTCATTGGTGCTTTTGTTCTACCTCCTAATTCGCTATGTAGTTCCTGGGTCTTAAAATCCTGGAGAAAGATCTTTTTCTCAATATCACAATGCTCTTACTTCCACAAGTAGAACAAAATTATAACCGTCATTTTACTACAGAGCTCTACGTTGTAAGGCCAATTCGGGGCTTACACAGTTTGCTGCCTTGGTGTCCATTAATTCCTTCTAGTTGCTCTTTCAAGGAGCCCTAGTGATGCAATGCTTAAGTGCTTGTCTGCTGACGGAAGGGTTGGCTGTTCAAACCCCCCAGCTGCTCCAAGGGAGAAAAATATGGCAGTCTGCTTCCGTAAGATTATAGCCTTGGAAGCCCTCTGGAGCCGTTCTACTCTGTCCTATAGGGTTATTAGGAGTCAGAATCGACTCGATAACAGACAATAACAACAGTGGCCCTTTCATCCAGTTCTTGACACGGCCGTCCCATTTTATCACAGAGCCTCTCAATAGCTGTAGTCTCTAACTGGCCCTCCTGGCCATGCCCCACGTGGCATCCTGTGATAGGGACCCGTTACTATCTTGCAACCCAGTCACTCAAAGTCAGTTGCACCCCTTGTCCCTCCTGGCCATGTCCCATGTGATTCACTGTGATAGCAATTTCTTCCTTTTCCTGCACTAACGCCCTGGAAACTTTTAAACTAAGGAACAAACCTTCAGGGCATACTAACCGGGAGGCCCCACCCTGCTCGCCCTGCGTAACCTCTCTCCCGGTTGCAGTTTGTCGTTACCTTGTCTCGGGCACGACCCCGTGCGAGTCTGTGTCGAGGCTGAATGTGGTGTCCTCTCTGGGACCTGTCGGTTCTCAATTCTGTGTTTTCTACTTTCCTGTGTGAGTCTCACTTCCACATATGCCACAGTGGACAGACCACCCAGGACACCCACAGACCCCTATGGGTCAAACTTAGGACGCTCTAACAATTCCCATATATTCAATTTTATTTTTAAATAAAATTTATTTTGCTAACAGTGTAAATCTAAACGATGAGCAAAATAACCAGAAAGAACGATTGTCTCTAGGAAGCAAAGGGAGGGCATGATAATAGATTTTATTCCACCCCAGGCAATTATCTCTGCATTACAGCATAGATGCGGGGCCTTGGTGGCCCAGTGGCTTGGCCGCTAATCGTGAAGGTCAGCAGTTCGAATCCACCAGCCACTCCTTGGAAACCCTATAGGGCATTTCTACTCTGTCCTGTAGGGTCGCTATGAGTCGGAATCGACTTGAAGGCAATGAGTTTGGTTTGGTTTTTTTAAGGCACAGATGTTTTATGAGGTGTGTGTTCAAGTCAGAGAGGAAAACAAGACTCTTCGATCCCAAGAGAATTTGTTTAAAATATGTGAGCCTGTTGCCCAAGACTTATTTTAACACATCCCTTTTGTGTTTCTAGAATGAATTATTCCCGCTGTACCATGTGTAGAAAAGTTTTGGTAAAATTAGATGATCAGACACTGGAGTCTTGTTCAATTTGTTTCGTACACATGGACTTATGGAGAATTTTGCTTTTGTTCTTCTTGCAGTTGAAATTTTGTATTCCTTCCTTGATTTTACAACTACATTGAGTTCCTGTTTAGAAATGATCTGTGGTCAACAACCCCAGGATTTAAGTCCCAAAGCACATCAGACTCATAAAGAGGTAACACATAGTCAAACACCTGAATCCCTCAGATTGGAAAAATGAAGACGAAGAGAAGGTGCTTAAATTAAAGCTGCTTTGGGGCACCAGTAAGTTATGGGTTGGTGGGTTTTATAAGACCACTTACTGTGCTATTCAATTAAAAAAAGGAGAACAGTTACCATAG